AAATTTGCATTTGCAAATCCCTTAAGCTTTACACCTTCACTACTTGATTTAAACACCTAACTTAGATGATCATGGGCAAATTTGGCAATGGGTTGCACTTGGGCTTGGTTGTAGCCCACTGTCCGCCAAGTTCAGGTCCAATAAAAATAGTACAAATTAATAGAAAATTGTTTGGGAAAAATTCACAAGTCAAGCATTAAGTATGGAGCAATTCAATTTTCAAGTTTTAAGTTTCAAAATTCAAAACTCTCAGATATTAATTGATTGATTGATTATATTTTATTAATTAAATATATTAAAGTCACAATTATACAATTAATAGTCACAAATGCGTAGTTGTGGGTCACAACTTAATTATTGGTTATATATTATCAAATTAATTGGTCACGTATTATTTTATGGTCACAATCAAAATTTTTGATAAGTCACAACTTATTTCATTGGTTACAAATCAAAAAATTAATAGGTCACATTTTATTTATCAGTCATAGAGTTTCAAATTAGATGGTCACAAATAATCGAATTTTTAGATCACAATTAAATAATTGGTCACGGATTAACCAAATGGATAATGTTAGAGTATATAAGCATCTACATAAAGGTATTCATAATGTTGATGTGGCAATCATCCAGTCATTGATGTGTAAGTGTCAGATTTGAATTAAAAGTAAGATCACATGCCACATCAACATTATGGACACCCTCATGTAGATGCTTATATACTTCTAGCATTATCCTAACCAAATAATTAGTCACATACAACCACCAACACCGCCTAATAGCTAACCATCACCAACACAACCCCACCGCAAGCAACTTAGTCACAGACAACCCCAACAACCCACCATTACTTGCCGCCCAAACAGCATCAAAAAATCATATCCAAACTGATCAATCACTGCTATGACCACCACCAACATCACACCACCACCGCCTCTTCCCTTTCCTCCTCCACCAAAACTCATATCCCGAACCATAGCTCAAAACTAGATCTAAAACCAAAACGCCGCCAACATCACCACCACCGCCAACAAAATCACTGCACAACTTGATCCAAAATCAGATCGCATACATCCAAAACGAGATCCAATCGACTGCAGCATGACGTATGTCGACGACTTCATCTTTTCTTTTGACATAGCGTAGCACGCGAAACGAAATCACAATACCGTAGAGCGATGTTTCCAGCTGCGTCATTTTTTCTAACGGTGTTTTTCAAACTGGGT